TGTTCTAGAATTTAAACAACCATAAGAAAACTGGTTTCCACCATAAGTATTTAGACCATTGCAAATTAAAACTTAAAACTAACAAACAAAAGTAATAAAAGAAGATATTATACGATTTTAGGTTTGAGTTTAGATTTTACATAGAATAAGAAAAGATACTATGGGGGAGGATGTATAATAAAAATATAGACTATTTGTATACGGTCCGGATCGGTTCCAATCCGGAACCGTGGGATTCAATCCGGAACCAATCCGTGAACTACGAATTTTTAATTATTCAATCCGGAACCGAACCACGGATTCAAAAAACCAATCCAAACCTATCGGATTGGACTGGACTGGATCGGATTACGGATTTCACGGATTCCTTGCTCAGCCCTATATGTGGTCTTTTGGCAACATACTAAAAAATTGCGTTTGCAGCTTCGTTCTAGAAAGATACATTGACTCTTTTAGTAAAAAATCATTTGGCAACGTGAAAAAAGTTACATATAAAATTATAATTGTAACTTTTATATTATTTAGGATTATATATGGATGAAAACGTAATTTTTTTAAAATTAGGTAAGATAGTTTAGTCATTTTATTGTTATGTGATATCATAAATAAATGTTAATAAAAAAAGGCAAAAAATAATTTTTTACCAACTTTTCAAATTACTTTTTAAAAAAATAAAAAAAACTTGATAAAAAATCAAAAACTAACTTTTGATCACATTCTCAAAATACAATCGTGCTACGTAGCTCGAATTGAAAGCCCCCCGAATCGCCCGAAATTCCAAAACAAAGTTGTTTTGGGATTGTTTTTTTTTTTCCTTTTTTCCTTCTTGTTTGTCTGAAGAAGAAGAAGAATGAGAGAAGAAGAAGAAGAAGGAGTCATCAACGACATCTTCTTCATCACATCATCATCAGCCAACATTTTTTTTCCCTCCTTCAGATCTGGATTTAGATCTTGATCTACTAGGAAAAAAATAAATAAAATCAACAACAACATCTTCATCAGCATCACCATCATCAACACATCATCTTCATCTTCATCATTGTAAATCATAAAGCATAATAATGCAGCGGATAAAATATCAGAATCATACCTTGTAGCGAAGAACCTTCGTGGGTAAATCATGTGCTTCCTGAATCTGATCAACCCAGCAATGGAGTGATATTACAATAGTGAATATCACCTACACAAATCACAGTGCAAAATGGCTTGATCGTTGTTTAATGGGAGAGAGTCAGAGAAATAGTTTGGAAAAAAAGGTTATGGGTAAAAACCACATAACGTATATCTATACGTATCTGATCTATTAAATATATTATATATAAAACATATTAATCAGATATAACAACCAATATCTATCTATCCATATCTATTGATATGATAGGTATAGATATCCTGAATGGTTATCCAAATAAGTTTTGAATTCAAATTCAAACTTACATGAATAAGGTTCAAAGGGTCATGCTACACGGGCGCCCAATTTCTAACAATCATCAACACATCAAAGTCAGAAATCGCAAGGGTGAGCATCCAACAGCGCACCCTCCATCACCGTCACTCGCACTGCCATCGCCATAGCTGTCTCTATCTCTCTGTTTCCCTTCTCCCCTCTCCTCTTCTCTCTTTCTCCCTCTCTCCTCTCATTCCCTCTGTTTCTCCCTCTATTTCTCCCTCTCTCTTCCTCAGTTTCACACAAAAGGAGAAAAAAAAAATAACTATCCAAAACGACATCATTTTAGATAGTCGAGAAATTCGGAAGGAAAAATTTTCGAGCTACAAAATATTTCTCAAACACTTATGTGTGACGTAGATAATAGGGACAATATCTTACTTGGAGTGTTATCCAAAAGGGAAATAATTTACGCCAAAGGAGCTTGTTTGGCCTAAACATCAATAACTAGTCAACGAAAACTGCAATTATGATAGTTCGAGTGTAGAACTAAAATTGTATACTATAGGAAATAATATTTTATTTATTTATGCGTTTTTATTGAGAACCCTTATGAAGATTTAAATGATTTAAAATAAAAATATATTTTAAAATGCTCAATCATGCATTCAACTCAAGTAACGAAATATGATAAATATGAGAGTATATGGCCCAAACATCAATAACTAGTCAAAGAAAACTGCATATATGATATAGTTTGAGTGTAGAACTAAAATTGTATACTAAAGGAAACAATATTTTGTTTATTTATGCGTTTTTATTGAGAATCCTTATGAAGATTTAAATGATTTAAAATAAAAATATATTTTAAAATGCTCAATCATGCATTCAACTCAAGTAATTAAATATGATAAAAATGAAAAGTATAGAAAGTGAAGTGAAATAAAAAATAAATAAATAATAATTTACCATATGCATTTGGGTAAGATGAGAATTTAGGATTTTTTTTTTATATTTATAATTATGAAATTACCGTTAACTTGTTTACTTGAATTACACATTATTTATCAACTTTGACATTTTCATTAAATCATTCACCATGCAAATATGAAATATTAGAATGATATATCATGAATGAAGTAGGCTATTATTATTGATTTACGCTTTTTGAGTTATGTTGGTAAACTAAGGTCAAGTTTGGCTATCCTAAATAAGTACACACTTTTTATCTTTTTATCTTTTTTTTCATCACATCATCTCTCTACTTTTCTACACATCTTTTCGTAAAAAGATAAAAAGTACACTTATTTAGGTCATCCCAAACAACCCCTAATTGTGGGGCAATAAGCTAAGTAGTGAGAAATGATATTAGAGCTCTGATTGTTTAGAAAGTGAGATCATGAGTTGGTTTATATGCAGAATTGGGTCACTAATTTAGAAATTAATTAAAAATATTTTGAGTTAAATTTAGCACAAGATTTGATTTGATTTGATTTTTTTTTTTTGATAATAAAGTTAGCTCCCCAAAAGAGATAATTTGTGAAATCTAAGACCTCATTTGAGAAGATAATGCTCCGTTTGGTAAGCCTATTAAAATATAGTTCCACCTATTGATCTGAGTGTATTATTTGTTTTGAGCCTTAAAATCATAATTCTACACCCATTTCTCAAAACTCAATTCAAAAAATAATCATGCTTTTTCAAAACTCATAACCAAACACATAATTTAAAACTATTTTCAAAACTCAATTCAAATCAATATTTTAATGTTTTAAATATTTCAAATATATTTTAATTTTGTTAAGATTTTAAATATTTTAATATTTATATATGTTACGATTTTTTTATTTTTTTAATTTTTAAAAATATTTTTAAATATTTTAATTTCAAAATATTACGATTTTAATTTTTTAAATTTTAAAATATTTTATAAAAATAAATTCAAGCTCTATTTTATAAAAATATTTTAATTTTTTTGTTATGTATTTGAAAATATTATAGAGTTTCGAGTTGTTATGTGTTTGATTATGAGTTTTAAAAATAATTTTTTAATTGAGTTTTGTTTTATGTGTTTGGTTACGATTTGAGTGTAGCGTTGTTTTTAAATTTAAAATATTAACATTTTAAATTATTTAAAAAATTTAAATTTTTACGATTTAAAATTTTTGAATATTTATTTTAATTTTTTAAATGTTATTTTCTGTTAATAATAAATTTTTTTAATTGAATTTTAAAAAGAGTTTGGTTATGAGTGTTGATCAAAATTTTCAATAGTGTAAAAGTAGTGTGTTTTGTTATGAATTATAACAATTTGAATTAAGTTTTGAAAACTCTTTCCAAAACTCATAACTAAACAAATTTTCTTACTTCACATGTCAAATCAAACTTTTAAAACTCAATTCCATACTCAATTCAACACTTTATTTAAAAACCATAACCAAACAAATTTTCTATACTCAAATCATAATTCCATAACTCACAAATTCAAAATACAACTCATTCTCTCAAATCATATTTACAAAACTCTACCAAACGCAACCTAAATTTTTAGCCAAAAAATTATTATAAATTGTCATATTATTTTTTTAAAATATTTTTTTCTTGGTTTTTGGTAAAAAATGAGTCATTTTTGGTTTAATTTCTAAAATAAATTTTTGAAAAGCAAATCAAACAAAGTGAAAGATCAATTCCTAAACAACCTCTAAATCATTTTTTAATTTTGACAAAGGCCTATTTTGGTAACTAAAAAAAAAAAAACAAATTATTGATTTATTAGTTTATTTAAATTATATCACTTCTTTATTTTTTTTTTTTTTTTAAATATATTTTTTCAAAAAAAAGTTAATAGGTTAAAAAAAAAAAACTTTCTAAAATACGCTAAACTCTTTAACTTGATCATTAGAATTGCTTTGATGTGAAATGAATGGTTGTCTCTATCTCTCAAGTATTTCTCAAATATTCAAATGCCTTGCAACCAAATATCTGTGGCATATTTTAAGGATGGAAAATGTCTCGTAGCTCAAATTTTGTGGCTTAAAAGTGGTTCAAATGGCCAAAACGACGTCGTTTTAGCTATTTTTATGTTGTTCTGTACTCTAAACAACGTCGTTTTGGCCATTTGAGCCACTTTTGAGCCACAAAATTTAAGCTACATAGCATTGTCGTTTAAGGATACTTAGGCCTCGTTTGACAAGTAATTTTTTTTAATTAAAAAATTTAAAAAATATTAAAAAAATTAAAAAATCAACAATTCATATTAAAAAGTCAAAAATTTCATTTTCTCTTTACTTTTTGTATATTTTTTTGTAAAAAGTAAAAAAATTATTCTAAACATACTATTTTTTTTACATAATATTTTAGCTAAAAAGTTAAAAAATTACTTAAAAAAGCCTGTTTTAGGATACATGTGATATAATTTATATAAGTTTTAGATAAATATATTTATTTGAGTTATCTCAAAAATCATCACAAATACCCCCTACCAACTATAGGCGATATTTCATAATTTCAAGCCAAAAAAAAAAAAAAAAGGAAGAAAATTTTAACAAAATAAAAAATTCAAAATAAATATCCATCACTAATTCTTAGTGCGTATATATATATACACGCACTAAGAATTGCTAACAAATGTTCTATCTCTCTGTTTCTCTCTCTCTCTGTTCTGAGTGATTCATCAAAACAATAATAATGTCGACATTCGCTCTGGAGCCTCTTGGTTACCATTGTCGCAGAGAACACCCCAATTTTCGCCCAAATTACAAAAAGTCCAAAGCATTTTCATTAAATTACACTCCGAGACCGAGACGAAGACCAAGACCACTCTCCCATGGCTCGATCTTCTGCAACTTCAGACCTCCTCTCTCTCTTCCTCTCAGAGCTACCTCCACAAATACAGCTCTGGTGGAGGAGACCTTTGAATCTGAGGAAGTTCTCTTCAAAGAGACATTTCCCTTGAAACGAACTCAAAAGGTCCAAACTTTCTCACTTCTCTTATATATATTTTTTATGTTTGTTATAGATAGATATGTATATTGATGATGAGAGGGAAAGTAGAAAAGAAATTGGGCTTTGAGAATGAAAAACTATGATCATTAGCTGAGCATGTAATTTGGTTGTGTTGTTGAGTGTTTTTCATTGGATTTTTTGTTTTTGTTTTTGTTTTTTCTGTTCTTGTTTTTGTTTTTTACTTTGTTTTCTTGGCTGCCAAACAGAAATTATGTTTTGGGTTTGATCACAATTATTGATTGACTTGGAATGAGGGGTGAGGGGAGTTGAATGACATTATCAAACTTTGTTGAATTTTAGATTTACTTCAATATGTGAAAGAAGTGAAAAAAAAACTATATTTTCATATGATTTTTTCTTTTTGGGGCGGAAAAAAAATTATTTATTCATTTATTTACTTTTTGTGTTTATTTTTGTAAAACTAGTTTATAATTCAAAAAAAAAAAAAAAATTGCGGAATACATGTTCTGAAAACTCAATCAACTTGGCTTAGCTCCCCCACTTTTTTTTAATATTCAAATAAAATTTGACTGTATTGAGTTTCTAAATTATCTAATATTTAGTATTTTTCTTTTTAATGTTACAATGTTCTTGCAGCAACCAAACAGAATTTTTTTTTTTGAATTGGGTTGTTTATTAGTCGATTGGAATCACAGGGTGAGGGAAAGATATCTATCAGATTGGATAATGGGAAAGACCAAGAAAATTGGCAGCTCACAGTGGGATGTAATCTTCCAGGGAAGTGGGTTCTTCACTGGGGAGTAAACTATGTCAATGACTTTGGCAGGTTTGCTTTATGTTTTTTTTTGAAGTGGAAGGTTTGTTCAAAAAGGTTTGCTTTATATTTCCAATTGTTCTTTATTCATACATTTAGTTTTGGGTTTGATGCTGGGAAACTTGCGTAAAAAAATACACGAAGGCACTAGTTAACAGAGTTTGAGTTCTATTCTTCACGAGCTTGTGGATTTTGGGTCTAATTTTGATGATTTGAGGTTTATAACTACATTTATTTTATGTATGGTAAAATCTTAATAATGACCTAGGATTATCTCAAAACTTGTGATAATTACAATTTTATCTTTTGAAATTTTCAGTGAATGGGATCAACCTCCTGTTGAGATGAGGCCTCCGGACTCTATTCTCATTAAGGTCTTTATTGATTTCTTGGATTTGAGTAATTCAGCTAGTTTTATTCCATCCATTTTGCTGCCATAAGTAAGAGCTTCTCTTCTTTTTTTTTTTTTTTGTTTTTTCTTTTTTTTCTTCTTAGGATTATGCAATCGAGACTCCTTTGAAGAAATCATCAGCAGTGGTGGAAGGAGATTTGTATTATGAAGTGAAGATCAATTTTAGTACCAACAGAGATATTGCAGCTATAAATTTTGTTTTGAAGGTTTGCTCTTAAATTTCTAGCAGCTGAAAGCTTTTGTTACACATAATACATAATTGATGTAATCTTTTCAGTATGTATGAATTTATTTATTCATTTTTATCTATTTGTTCTTTCCTTTTGGGGGCTTCTGTTGCAGGATGAGGAAACTGGAGCTTGGTATCAGCACAAAGGAAGAGACTTCAAGGTGGTTCTCATTGACAACCTTCACGAAGATGGCAATTTTGTTGGAGCCAAAAAGGGCTTGGGTATATGGCCAGGTTGTACAAAATAATTAACTGTATCTGACTCTGTCTGTGTTGAGGATTGATGCTGTGGGCATCTTTCCACTTGTAAATATTTCTTGTTTTGAGTCACTCCTGTCTTTTTCTTGTTTTGGTGTCACAGTTCAGGAAGGGCCTTTAAATAATTTGAATCTACTTGAACCAATGATTTAATAATAACAAAGTTTCTTTCTTTCTTTTATTTTTTCTTTCTAGAGAAAGGTTGTTAATGAGATCCATTTGTTAAAAGAACCGGTTGAGTGTAGTGAATAATGGTGAGATGTGGGTTTTGCGTAGACATCAAGTCAGTTTCGTGTTTAAATTATTTCATTTTCTGAAAACAGGTGTGGACAATAAAATAAACTTCATGAATCAATGTGTCATTCTGCTGAATCCACAATACCTATGTAAAAAAAAATCTGCCGAATCCAGAATACGGGATAGACCAAAGCCTTAAACTACCTTCTCATGCTACCTAAATTAATTTAATCATATTTTTGTTGGAGTGATTTTTATGTTTCTTTGCTTCCTAACGTCTTGACAAGGAACTGAGTGACAAGCTTTATTGGTTCCTAGGGGCTTTGGGACAGCTTTCTAGTGTGCTTCTCAAATCAGAAGGAGCTCATCCCAAGGGTGAAGACAGCAGTGAAAGTAGATATCCTAATCAGAAAAACAAGAGCCTTGAGGGGTTCTATGAGGAGCATTCTATCGTAAGAGAAGTTCTTATTAGTAACTCAGTAACTGTTTCTGTCAGGAAATGTCCGGAGATGGCCAAGAATCTTCTGTATATGGAAACGGATCTACCTGGAGATGTTGTTGTTCACTGGGGTGTTTGCAAGGATGATGGTAAGAAGTGGGAGATTCCAGCTGAGCCATATCCTGCTGCTTTACTACATAAGGACCCTAGTATTCAAGAATAAGGCATTGCGGACGCTGTTAAAGGTATAATTTAACACAGATTTTTAGTAAAATCGAAATCATGTGCTTTGGTGTTTCCCATTAAATACAGTTATTGCTGGGTATTTGGTGGTATTATACGTACTTACATGTATTTATGACACACTTGGTGATATACAGTGATATGCATGCATTCCTTTCACTCAGCTAACTTAGATATTTCTAAGTTGTTTGTAACTATTGTGGCCTGTGGTTGCTTAAATATTCTGCAATATAAAACACTTCCTCTCAAGATCCAATGGAACGTTGTGACTTGCCATTTTCTTATGACAAAAAGGGAATCTATCCTAACAAAACCTTTTACAAACTTATGTAAGTTTTATTGGACTCGGTGGGTAACTTCTCAAGTTGGTGCTGGGTCCATGCATTAAACTGCCTTATCTATGTCTTCCAATAAATATTCTTATTACCCTTCAAAATTTAATCGATTGTCTTCATACATGTGCATACGTTTATATGTGTCAGTGGATGAATGTGTTGTTTGGAGACATTTTATTTTACTAAACAACCCAAGTCTTTAAATCGTCAAAGGACAAATGTTCCATGCTTCAGTTCTTTTTCCAAGCCTACTTCCATGACTATCGCCTCTTGTAACTTACAACGAAACAAGAATGAAACTTGCTGGAACAGATTCTTGCACAATATTGAATATAATGAGGGACAAATGAACAATGGATCATATGCTTTTCATCTGTATATAACTGTGGATTACTCTCTCTGTCTCTCTCTCTCCCCCCCTCTCTCTCTCTCTCTCTCTCTCTCTCTCTCGTGTGTGTGCGAGCGTTCGTTTCCCATCAGTGGGTGTTTTCTGTGATTTGATGTAATGGAGCATAAGATTCAGTTTTTGGTTGAAAAGTAAATCCATAAAACACAAATTATGTTTGTGTGGGGAATGATCTCATTTACAAAAGCAAAATAAGAAACAGTGGAACTGTATAAATAATGCATGTGCGTACATACTTGAATTTACAAATATAGATGTGCTGCTATACCATAGACTCATTTACAAATGGGGATTTGATTACTAGCATGAATGAGTTTGCCTGCATTTCCTACATGGTTGCTACTTTTCTTCATCTTGTAGTTATCCATTATTTTAACTTAACAATTTGATGAGCCAAAGGGGTTTGAGAACAAGTAATGGATCTTATCAACTGTCCTTTTTATATATAATCACACACACACACAAAAAAAAAAAAAAACACACACACACACACACATATAAAGATCTATCAGTGTTACTGGTGACAAAAAAACAAAAAACTTACTATTAAGATCTTATCCTTTCAATACTTTAAAAAATGAATTTGATGAGCAAACAAATGCTTGTTCTGTCTAACAAAAAGAGATGGCTAAAAAAATATTTTATTTATATGTGAAAAATGGCGCATTATTAGTTAAGTTTTGCAAAACTGAGATCACTAGTTGTGGAAGATGATGAAGATTTTCAAGTGAAGGTAAAGAATGATGCCTTGTTCATGTTGTGCACCAAATTTTGTGATCTTGATGAAGAATGCGTCACAAGCTGTGACTTTCGTATTTGCCTGAGATGTAGGAAGGCAGGCAAATTGGGGCACACAATAGTCTAATGAGCTCAACTCTATGCATTTGAGTAAAGTTGCCCTAGGTGACTAAAGTTGAGCTAGGCGAGGTAGATAAGGCTTTGGTTGCTGTTGTGCGAGTGGAGGAGGAACGTAAGCTATCTTTTGTGCGAGCACAGAAAGCCTTGAATGAAGCGGAGTTGGCAACTTCCAGTTTGAGGAGAAAGAAAGCGATTCTTGAAGCAAGACTGGCGAGTGAAGAAGAAGGCCAGGGGGAAGAGGATCAAGCTTCCAGGGCCTTGATTTGATTTAGTTGGATCATAGCTTTGTAGCATATGATAGTCTAAGACTTTTTGTATGTTGGAGATTTGGCCTTCCTTTCTTTTTTGTAATTGAAAATCTTTAACTACTTAATGGAGCCAATTTTATACTTAGCTAACTCGCATTTGCTTTTATTATTTGTGATTATAGTTAGAATAAGTGTGGAAAACGAAGATATTCATTGACGAAAAAGCCCGAATGGGCACAATACATCTTATTGTAGTATATCATACAGTAGTGAGTAATATCTAAGGATAGTAAGCCTTTAACCATTTTGCATTGATGGGGCTTAGGAGGGTTTGAGAGTCAGGCTCAAAAATTCTGTAATAACTATTTTCATTGACTTCCTTTACTACATAAGGACCCTGCCACTTGGGTGTGTACTTGTGGTTTGATGTTCCCCTAATGACGTGGGGTGCAGCTCGTAACACTAAATCACCTTCTTGAAACTATCTCGGGCGTACCAGAGTATCGTAAGCTCGAGCTATACGGCTCTGGTAAACTTTAAGATTAGCCTGGGCCTTGTCCTTTCTTTCATCAATGACTTCCAGCTCTGATGGTCTGGAGTTCGGGGTAGTTCCACTTCGACGGGCCATTCGAGCTAAGGGTATGGCGATTTCCACTGGGAGGACTGCTTTCGTGCTATATACCAATGAAAAGGGGGTCATCTGAGTTGGCCTTCTTTTGGACGTTTTGTATGCCCAGAGCGCCATTGGGAACACATGTGCCCAATTCCTTTGATAATCCTTGAGAGTCCTTGAAAGGATTTTAATGAGTGTTTTGTTGGTTGCTTCAGCTTGTCCATTCCCCTGGGGATAGTAAGGCATTGATTTATGGTGTGTAATGTCGTAGGAGACCAAGAGTTGTTTGACTTGGCGGTTGATGAAAGGGGTCCCATTATCTAAAAGGATTACTTTGGGTATACCAAAACGACATATAATGAATTCTTGAATGAAATTGGAGATGGCGGCTCCTGTTGCCTTCTTCAGGGGGATGACTTCTACCCACTTAGTGTAAGTATCTGTAGCTGCCTTCTTCAGGGGGATGGCTTCTACCCACTTAGTGTAAGTCTCTGTAGCTACCACAATCCATATGTGTCCCTTTGACGGTGGAGAGATAGGGCCAATAAGATCCATAACCCACGTGTGGAAAGGCCATGGTGAGCTTGAACTATGCAGATTGGTGGCTGGTGCGTGAATGAGGTTTCCATGGAGTTGGCTAGGTTTGCAGCGTTTGGCATACATTTTGGCGTCTGCTTCCATGGTAGGCCAATAATAACCTATATGCAAAAGATGTTGGAATAGCTTGGCTCCACCTTGGTGCTCCAATTTGTGAGCAAGTTCTAAAACTTTATGGATTTCTGCTCCTGCTAAGCAACGTAATGGCTTCCCATCGAAGCCGTGCCTAAAAGGTTGCCCTTCTTGCAAAAAGAATTTCGGAGCTCGCTTCTTGATTATTGCAGCTGCGGAGCGGTCTGGCGGTAATGAATCTTCTTTGAGGTAATCTATATACACCTGATGCCAATCGGAAGTGATTTCTGTGAAATTACATTCAGCTTTTGGGGGAAATTCCTGGCATTTGGTGCACTTTCCTTGAAGGTCGTTTGCTTCCTTAGCCATGGTAGGCCAATAATATCCTTGTCGTTGTAGCCTCCTGTAGAGGCTCACGTCTCCTGTTCCGCAAGAATGATTGTGACCCCTTTCCAGTTTGGACTTGGCTTCAGTGAGGTCGATGCATCGTGCTAACAAACAACTAGGCCCTCCGTAGTAGAGGACTCCTTGGTAAATTGTGAAATGTTTGATTTCGTTCAAAGATAGCTTACCTGAGGGGGCACGAGTTCGTTGATGATTAGGGCTCTCCAGTTGGCGGGTTCTTTTTCGGGAAAGATAGTTGTTACCGAGCACGGCATGGAGCGCTTTAGAACTTTTATCTTGGTTGATTCTTCCGCGAATTCTACCTTAGAAGCCAAGATAGCGAGGGCGTCCGGTTGTCAATTACTGGAGTGAGGAGCATGTTCTATCCTTACCGTGTCAAATTTGTCTGTCAACCTTTGGACGATGGTTCTGTATGAAGCCAAAGGGGGCTCTTTGATAGCATAGTCTCTATTGGTTTGCTTAACCATGAGATTAGAGTCGCCTTTGATACATAAGAGACTTACTCCTAGATGGAGTGCTATCATAAGCCCTAGTATCATAGCCCTAGTATCAGGGCTTCGTACTTTGCCTCATTGTTAGAGCATTTAAAATCCAGTTTATACGACAAATTGACTTCGGTTTGATTTGGGGAAGTAAGGACTATTCCAGCTCCTCCCCCTTTAGAGGTGGATGATCCATCGAAGCTCAAACTCCACTCTGCTTCGGTGTTTACTTCAGCGGCTTGGAACTCGTCTCCTGGTAGTTCATCCGAAGGTGGCTCATGTTCTCCACTGGGGAACTCGTCTCCTGGCAGTTCATCCGAAGAGGTCAGCCAGCGCTTGACTCTTGATGGCCTTAGGAGCTTTGCAAGTGATGTCATATTCTGCTAATGAGAGGTGCTGGCCTAGTGAGGAGGAATCGGATGGGATCACTCCAGGTCATGAGATGGATGGGGTAAGAAAGGAGGTAATGACGGATCTTTTTGGTGGCGAAGACTAGGGCGAGGCAGTGCCGCTCTCAATGGGGGAATATCGGATCTCAGTCCCTTGGATGACTCTGCTTATGTAGTACACAGGTCGTTCGAGTTTGTCGATCTCCTGGGCGATCAGAGCCCCGACCGACTTTGGCGTGGAAGTGATGTACGGGAGTAAGGGCCTTGCCGGATGAGGAGTCGTCATGGAGAGAGGGGCAGTTAAAGCTGATTTCACCTCTTCGAATGCTTGTTGGTGTTCCTCATTCCAAATGAACCTGACATCCTTCTTTAGTAATGAATTGAAGGGTTATGTAATTTCGGCCATAGCTGGGATAAATCGTCTCAAGAAAGATGCCCGACCAAGGAAGGTTCTCAACTCGTCTAGATTTGTTGGTCATGGTATATTTTTGATGGTGGCGGCCTTTACTGGGTCAGGGTCTATCCAATGGTGATGAACGATGCAGCCAAGGAACTTGCCAGCAGTGACTCCGAATGCGCATTTAAGCGGGTTCATTCGGAGCCTGTATTTCTTACAGTGTTCAAAGACTCTTTGGAGGTCTTTAAGGCGACTTCTCTCTTCTTTGGATTTTACTACCAAATCATCGATGTAACACTCCAAGGTTTTGTGCGACATATCGTGAAAGATGGCTGTCATAGCTCTCTGGTATGTTGTTCCCGCATTTTTTAATCCAAAGGGCATTGCAGTATAGAAAAAGTTACTTATGGGAGTGCGAAATGCCGTCTTGGGAGCATCCTCTGGAGCCATCTTGATCTGGTTGTAGCTGCTGAAGCCATCCGTGAATGAGAACATATGGTGCCCGGCTGCTGAATCAATGAAGGTGTCTATGCTTGGGAGTGGGAACTCGTCTTTGGGGCAAGATTTGTTTAGGTCTCTGAAGTCGATGCACACTCGAATTTGGTCGTTCTTTTTGATAACTGGGACGATGCTAGAGAGCCAGGTGGGGTGCTGGATAGGTTTGATAAATCCTGCTCCAAGCAGCTTGACCACTTCGTCCTTGATGTTGAGCTCCACCTCAGGCTTATAAAATCTTACACCTTGCTTGACTGGGCGAGCCAGGGTGATGACGTTCAAACGATGCATGATAACATCTTTCTCTAGTCTTGGCATATCTTAAAATGTCCACGCAAAAATGTCCGAATACTTATTGATCAAGTCGATGAGGGGCCGCCTTTGTTCTGCTGGCAAATCTTTGCAAATGAAGATAGGACACCTGGGTGCTCCTTCAGGGGCTATGCTGATTTCTTTCAGTTCTTGCTTTTGGGGCCGAGGGCCGTCTTATAAACACTTTGGAGCAGGTCGGACCTCTTGCAATCCATCTTGCTTTAGGATTGCAACTGAGTTGGCGGGGACTTGGTTAGGGGATGAAATGGCTGTCTTGGTGAGGGATTTAACTTTCGAGCCTTCAGCTCCATCCAAATGTGTTATTGAAGGACAGTTAGATTTGTCAGAGTGTTTTTTTGTTGTTGAAAACGCCACAGGTTTTTTTCTCATTTTATTCCTCCTGAAAGCCTGTAAGAAGTGCATGTTGTTTGTTTCTTCTATAAGTGCATCTTGTTTATGTAAGTGTGATTACTTCTTACTAATTGTTTCTTCTATTTGGTACTTAATTAAGATGAAAGCCAGTAAGAAGTGTATCTTGCTTGGAAAAACTTCGTGTCTCCTGGAAAGTACTTAGTAGATGTTCGAAAATCATTTAAGTTATTCCTTCACTCATATTCTTCCTTTTGCCTTTTTTATCTGGCTAGTTTGGATTAGGATTTCTCATATGCCAGTTTTACTCTGGTCAAGAATGTCTATACATTTGTTTTTGTTCTTTTTATTGTATATTTTAATGACTATGCTTGCATCATGCTTTCAGAAAAAAGGTGGGCATGGTGGTTCAAGTTTATTTACTTTGGATGAAGGATACCTCGGATTTCTTTTTGTGCTCAAGCTAACTGACAACACATGGTTGAATTATATGGGAAATGATTTTTACATACCCCTTTCAAGTTCAAGTGGCTTGTCTGCAATATCTAGGCATGGCCAATCTGAAGGTCAGGTAGAGACAAATCAAGTAGCTTCTCCTGCCACATATACTGATGAAATCATCGATGACATAAGAAATTTGGTGACTGATATTTCCTCTGAAAAGGGTCAAATTAGAAGGATGAAAGAAGCTCAAGAAAGCATTCTTCAAGAAATCGAAAAGCTGGCTGCAGAAGCCTACAGCATCTTCAGAAGCTCTATTCCAACCTTTGCAGAGAAAGTTGTGCTGGAAGCTGAGGAAATAGTACCCGCTGCCAAAATATGTTCAGCAACAGGTTCAGGATTTGAAATTCTCTGCCAAGGATTTAACTGGGAATCTCATAAATCTCGAAGATGGTACATGGAACTCCATGAAAAAGTTGCAGAATTATCTTCTCTTGGTTTCACTGTGGTTTGGTTACCACCGCCCACAGATTCTGTGTCACCTGAAGGATACATGCCAAAGGATTTATATAACTTGAATTCCAGGTACTGCCTTATAAAATGCATGAAGATTTGTATGAATTTTACATGCTTAATATGGAGTACTAATGTGCATTACTGTACTTGATATTTTGAGAAAAAATGTTAAAGATACAAATTAAGATTTTACATTTGGACAAACAACCTATAATATTTACCTTCGTAGTCAAGCTCATTTATCTTGATTAATATTTCCATCAACTCGTTCTTGTTCACCACGGTCTGAATTTAGCAGGAATAGTTATGAACTATGATGTTAACATCTCATTTTCTTAGTATAATAAGATTGATATTTGGTTTAACGAACTTTTTTTTTTGTTTTGTTTGTCTTTTTTTATACATATTTTACTAGAATATACTTCTTTTCGAAAGTTCTTGGTCATACTAGCACTAGCCTTTTTAGTATAATTTTACTATCATATACATAAAATTGATGCTGAACTTAGCCATAAGCTCTGTATAGAAACTTCCTGGTTGGTATTTGATGCAGCTGCCTCTCCCTGCGTTTCTTGTTTAATAAGCTCATAATACAAATAAAAATAGGACAGGATCTAGAGGCTTGCAGCTATTTTTGCTAGTAAATTCATACGTGCCTTCTCCTGTGTTTATTCTTTTTTCATGCTTGTAGTTTCTGCCTTTTTTTTTAAAAAAGAGTTTTTAGGTGTAGAAACTGCATTGACATCTAATACTTTGACTTTGTTGAATCTGTAATTTGCTCCTGTGTTTTCTTAGATTTTACTTGACAATTTTTGTTGAAAGAAATAAGACTAAAATTTTTTGGTCTTGTTCGGTTGTGTGCTCATATGCGATTGATATTAAAATTAAAATTAAATTTCTTTCCACGTAATGGAGTAATTCTAAATTGTGAGTTTCTTTGTTGCGTTTAGATGGATAACCTGGAAAGACTTTTCTTAGCTCTTCTCATTTCTCTTCTTTTATATTGGAAGTAAATTGATTATACATGTGAATTATTGATTTCTGTTATGGAATAATGATCAGATATGGGAGTACTGATGAGCTGAAGGGTCTTGTGAAGAGATTCCATCAAGTTAATGTAAGAGTTCTTGGAGATGCTGTCTTAAATCACCGCTGTGCAGAGTATCAGAATCAAAATGGTGTCTGGAATATTTTTGGTGGTCGTCTAAATTGGGACGATCGTGCAGTTGTTGCAGATGATCCGCATTTCCAGGTAAATTCCTTCCCTGTGATGGGTCATTGAAGCTTTTGATCTTGGATGTTAATTTAACATCATTCAAAGTCAAAGTCTGCAGAAATTAATGATTTTAGTCATTTTTGGTGGTAATTATTAAAGGATTTAGTTGTTGAGAGTTGTCAGAAACTGGTTTTCAGCTTCTTCTGTCATAACTTGTTGCGTTTGATGGGTTTTTCAACAACTCAAATGTGTCTATTTTCTAGGGGTGAGCATGGTGTGGTTGGGTTCAGTTTTAAAGTAAACCAAAACCAAACCAGTACTTACAGTTCCATAAAATTTGGAATCAAACCGAACCATGAAAATCTTGGAACCAAACAAAATCGAACCACAAAAACGTGGTTCGGTTCAGTTTATGAAAAGCCTAATTCCCAAGATTGTGATTTATGATCAAGTTCCAATATCAACAAGCAGAAGGATGGAAACAACAATTCACAAACAACTAAGAGTAATCTAAATCAATTAACAAATGGAAGTGAATTGATTTAGATCCAAACTTAGCAATCAATAATTGAACACAAATGATTTTAACGTGGAAAAATAATCACAATTGGAATCCTCCAATAGTGATTACCAAAAACCACTAGCCAAGAGGCTAAACAACAAATCCACTATGAGGAAAAATAAGATTACGCGAAGTTGTCTCGCCCAATCAATCTCTTAACGAATCCGCTTGATTGATCTAGAAACACTTGCGAATCTTCAATGCCCATCCTCTTCTTGGATTTGTCCCTTTGGTGTTGAATCCACAATCACCAACTTGATCGGAATCCACCGGTTGAACACTTGGAAGATAGAATCATTGAAACCACCTTGAAGAGCTCCAACAATTGCATGAGATGTATGAAATAATCTATGAATTATCAAGGGGAAACATTAAAAATCACTCACAATTCTCTTACTTTGTTTTTCACACTTTCCAAAGAGAGAACCAGATGAATCAAACTCAGATCTCAGGGAATAAAAGGTTATAACAAATTCTGTTCACAATGACTGCTTGAGTGCAACTTTCATCGATCGAGTGGTGAACATAGGCTTGCAGCATTTTTAAAACTCAAGACAAAAATCCTGTGAAGACAAAATCATCACTCGAGCACAACTTTGGTCACTTGAGCGGTAAATCCACCCTTGCAGCATTTCTGAAACTCAGGCTGAGATCTTTGCTCAAGCACAACTTCCATCTCTCGAGTGATGAGCTCATTCTTGAAGCACTTCTGAAACCCAGACTGAACAGCAACTGTAGAACTGATGCATGGGAGAGATCAATTAGGATAGGATTCGTACTCTAAGCTCTCAAACACTCAAACCAAAACAAGAACAAAGGAAATATACATCTGAAATGTATTTGTCGGTTGGGATTGAAAAGTAACAATGCTCTTCAAAATTCAATTTGTGCACTGTAAATATGTTTTAAAACATTTATAAGATGAATACATCATGTGTGTTGGAACAGTTGTCTTTTATATTATATTAATGAGGGCACTATTGTCATATTGTCATAATTTAGTTTTATTATAAATGTGTGCTAAGGTGGAAGGTTTGTTACACACCCTAATACCTATTTATTTAATTCTCTCTCTCTCTCTCTCTCTTCTCCTCTAACCCTAACCCTAATTTCTCATATTCTGCACATCAACTATGTGTATGTCAATGTTTTACAATTGTTTTGCATTCTTTAGAATGAAATTGTTATGTGAATGATATATTGATGTTTAAATTATGGAATATATGGCTCTTTAATTTTAATTAATATTATGTTGCTTTGTTTATTTATTACTTTTGAATATTCTATTCAAATTTGACATATAATAAATTTATAAAAATATAAACTTTTAATAACTTATGCCCAGCTTTTAAAAATAAAAATAAAAATAAAAATTGCCTTGTTGGCATGTCCATGTGTCATGTCACCTGTCCTTGTGTGCGCTACTTAGATCATAATTGGGTGGATTGGTTGACTAATGACATAAGGGGCTGTATGGTGTGGAAATTTGGGAGTGTTTTGAGGGTGAAGGAAGATTTCTTTCATCGTTAGCAATGGATGCAAAGTGCTGTTTTGGCAGTACTCCTAGTGTGGGCCAAGGCCTTTCAGGGAGATTTTTCTAAATCTTTATGGGATTGTGGTGGTTAACTCAGGTATCTTGTTGGAGGATTGTTGGAAGTGCTTTGGACTCTTATCTTTTGGAGTCCTTTTTAGGATTGGGAGGCGGAGTCAGTTGAGGCTTTGTCTGGAATACTTTAGGGCAGGTGTGGAAAGGGCTTAAGAATGGTAGTATTTTTGGTGGTCTCCTTTTATCGGAAGCTGGTTGGGTGGGGGATATCCTTTCTGTTGAAGGGGATTTGGCATTCAAAGGCTCCTGTTAGTGTTACTTTGTTTTCTTAGACGATGGCCAGATGATGGACAATTTGAGGCAAGGAAAAGTCTTGTTAGCTTGGTTCTGCATGTGCAAGAGTGCAGGGAAAAGTGTGAATAATATTTTATTGCATTACCTTGTTGCTAAAGAGGTGTGGAGTATGTTGTTCCCTATGTTTGGAGTTGAGCAGGTGATGCAGCGGTCAATTAAGGAGGTGTTTGTTTCATAGAGAAGGGTTCATCGAAGGGCCAGTTTTTACAAGTTTTTGATGTCTAATGTGGTGCTTGTGGAGATTGAGGAATAGGAGATCTTTTGAGTCTGTAGAGAGTTCAATATTTTGTTTTTGCTCAGGGAGACTTTTCTTCAATTTCTTCTACTGTCTTTTTGGGGAGTTGTATATCTTTTATATATATATAGTAGAATCATAGTTTTCTTTTATGTGTACATTGTGTGTACAAGTTTGAGCTCCCTGTGGTTGGCTGGCACCTTTTAATACATAAGCTAACTTTTCTTAACTAAGAAATCCCAATCTGCATCCTTTTCTTTCACTAGGATAAATTCTTAGCAAAAAGAAGGATCGCTAAAGTTTCTCATTCTGCTGGAATTATTGTTAACTGTGTATGCAATGATTAGACTGTTGATGGATGTTTGCTTTGTGTATTTACATTGAAGATTGTTTAAAAAACCTTGTTTCTGTCATACAGGGAAAGGGAAACAAGAGTAGTGGAGATTGTTTCCATGCTGCTCCAAATATTGATCATTCACAAGAATTTGTGAGGAAGGATCTCAAAGAATGGCTATGTTGGCTGAGGTTAGTTATGTTCGCCTTTCCTTTTTGAGAATTTCCTTGATATATGATATCTTGTGTGCAGTGGTGGCTCCATGAATTTTGGTTGGGTTTATATTCCAAAACTTAAATTAGAATTTATATAAAAGAAATCACACATATCTATATCTATCATTCACTTCCAATAAATCTTCACACATATCTATATCTATCATCCGCTTCCAATAAACCTTCTAATTTAAACTTCTCAAATCACAAATAAAAGAGAATTTGAATATATTGATGAATTGTTTCTATCCAAAATAAATTTATGGAGCGCTACAATTGCTTGCTGTCGATGAGTCTACAACTCATACCCAGTCTTGATGGTGCTTGAAGGCAGTTTTTTTTCCAAATTTAGTGTACTAATTCAACATAATCTATTTTTACCAAGAGAGCTATCTTTCGGCTATTACCTTTTTCTTTTGTTGATCTGAGGGTATATTTTTGATCGTTGTATGAGGCTACAGTACTGCAACGTATCAACAAAAAAAAAAAAAAAAAAATGTAGTGTATGAACTAGATACATTTTGGGTGTGGCCACTCCATGCCAACTTTATATGTATACCATACACTTCACTTTGTAAACACTTTTTGGGTAAGTAGCATTGTTTATGAGAGTATTACATTAGAATTAAAAAAGATTGTGAGTGGGTTATGAGGTTGGTGTACAAAGTTTGAGGTGGGTGTGTTGGGTGTTCCAGATCTGTGGGAGGGGAGGAATTCAAAATATGTGAACTTCGGTGTTCAAATTCTGAGTAGGGCTGATTAATATATATTGCCTATATATACAAAGATAAACAAAGTCAGGCCACACGTGCCTCTGCCTCTGCTTGTGCGCATTTTGGGCTAGACTTTATTATTTTTATCTGTCCTATTTCACTTGTTGGATCATGGGGATTGTTTGCCCTTTCTAGAGAGTTTTTGGACATTGTGGTCAACAGAGTGTAGATTATAGAGTATAGGATATAGGGTCATAATTTTGTTTTGTGTACAACCTGTGTATCCCTTGATGCTGTTTATCAACTATATTCACCTGTCTGAGAGGGACATCTGCCTGGATGTGTATATATCATGAAGTCAAACTGTGTTCCTCATTTACCATAACACATTTGTGCATTTTCTTCTTTTTGGTTTGGATTCTATTATATTTCCAAATATGATGATTGCACCTGTTTAGTCTCTTCACTTCTGGGTGTCAGTATTCCATTATTTGAACAAAACAAAAATAAACTACTCAGGGATGCAAATATATGTATAAATTTAAAAAGGTTCATGTATTACTTATAATTTGTATCTTTTATTTTTGCATTTGAGCATTGAAAGTTCAATGGAAGCTTTACTCTTATTAAGTTGACGTGTGATATTTCTCTGGTCTGTACTCACTTTCTGATTCTTCTGACTCTTCTGACTAGGCAGTAAGTTTGAATGTTGAGTTTTTGCTGCTGATACTTGACCTGCAGGGAAGAAATCGGGTATGATGGATGGAGGCTTGATTTTGTTCGGGGATTTTGGGGAGGATATGTCAAGGACTATATTGAAGCAAGTGAACCTTACTTTGCTGTAGGCGAGTATTGGGATTCCCTCAATTACACATATGGTGAGATGGATCACAATCAAGATGCACATAGGCAGAGAATTGTTGACTGGATCAATGATACTAATGGAACTGCTGCTGCTTTTGATGTCACGACAAAAGGAATTCTTCATGCTGTAAGCATTCATTCACAAGATGTTATTCTTGGCTTTTGGAAGAAATTACAGTCAGTCTGTTGTTTTTACATGACTTTAGAAATGGACCAAGTGAATGGCCTTTCTAACTGCATGTAAAATTAACATTTTCCCTCAGCATTTCTTGCTTCATAACATAGATACATTTTGAGATTACAGTTAATTTTCTTTTTTCTTTTTCTTTTTCTTTTTTGGTAACAATTAAAGTGATTTTCTCCACATTGTGAAATCAATTTATGCATCCCCAGTACCTTATACAAGCAGTTACTTTAAAATTCTGGATCTAATATGATTCACATTATGACTTGGTAGAATCTTGTTAGTTTTTAGGAGTACATAGATATTTGTACAAGATGTTAATATACACTTTTATTTTGACTTGGTGATCCATCATTTCTCTTTTTTAGTTTTAGGCAGCATGATGTCTGTTTTGCGATTCTGTTGGACAATTAGCTTCCATGTCTTTCCTCTGTACATCAACATGTCTGTTTGTCCTTGCCTCTTTAGAAAGATGTCAATCTGCATCATGTCACCTTCTTACTCGTGCTGTTTCAAGTTTTGTGAACATGGCCACACCATCTTTGCATTTTCTTTCATCTTCTCCCGCATAGGTACTCCAACTTCTGTTGATTATATTCATTTGAAGCTCTGTCCTCTGTTGGCTTTCATGCAATTGTCTAGATATTGCATTTTAGTAGAACTAACTGTTTCTTACTTGCCATCTTTCTTTCACATAAAGCATGGCTAGTTTGCTATGTAAATTTAAATCTATCCAAAAGCAATTCTTTGCTTCATCCATGCCACTTCTATGATCAGCATCTTCATTTGTACAGCCAGTTATACCTGTGAGTTTCATGTGAGTTTAGAGAAGAAAAATATTATTGCTTAAATCTCACTTACTTTAAAATGTGTTCTTAATACAACTTAAATAGAAACCAACCCTAATGAGTAAAAGATGACAAAAATACAAGAGTACCCTTAACCCAAAAATAAAATAATAATACCAAAATTTCATCTTCACAATACCTGCTACTCTTTTTGAATGTTTGATGTCCTAGGATCTCCCGCACATTCTCTGGTTTTGCTCTGAATATTTGGAGGTGGTGCAAAAAGAGAAAAACTTCAAATTTTATTTTTCAAAATGATTTTACTTTTTTTATACTCTGTCCTTCGCCTTGCACTCTTCCCTATGTTACATTTCCTCTTTATTATTAGTCAGTCCAAACGTAAAATAGACTTACAGAACAAATCTTCTATATAGGCACTTGAAAGATGTGAATATTGGCGATTATCAGATCAGAAGGGAAGACCTCCAGGGGTTGTTGGGTGGTGGCCATCCCGGGCTGTTACGTTTATAGAAAATCATGATACTGGTTCTACTCAGGTAGACTTATTATTCTGATTACCCTTCTTTTTTAAATAATTGTTTTTGTTATTTTGTTTTACCAGAAGCTATTATGCTCAATTATCCAAGATTGACCAACTAGAAAATTATATATGAAACAAAATGTACCTGTGCTGTACCCCTTTCTCTCACCTTCCTCTTTTAAGATCCGAGTGTATTCCTATGGCGTATGTTAGAACCTCTCCACTTGCCATATGGTTTGAACTTCGCAGTGATGCTTGGAAGGACAGATAAAAAAAAGTCATCAGACAGGCAAGGGTTGAAATATTTTTCCACCTGCTGTTGAATTGTTGCATGTTGCTTGAAAATTTGACCAACAAGAAGAGATTCTAGCAAATCTAGTTAATGTTGATAGCTTTTATGTTGGATATTGTAAGAGTATGATCTAACTTGTTTACCTTTGTCCTATTTTCTCTTTTTTTCTTATTCATTTTTTCCTTGAAGGGTCATTGGAGATTTCCAGGTGGAAAGGAGATGCAAGGGTATGCTTACATCCTGACTCATCCTGGAACACCAGCAGTTTTCTATGATCACATTTTCTCTCACATGAAATCTGAAATTTCGGAACTTATCTCTTTGAGAAACCGGAACAAAATCCATTGTCGGAGTACGGTAAGTATCATTAATTTCATTGCTACCCTTTATTCAAATGTAGCAAGCACAATTGAGCCCTTGCATGAGATTTTGGTCAACTTGATAGATGACAAAAGGAGAACAATTCTTAGATTGTGTTATATACATATATGTTAAGTTCTATATATCCTATACATGCAGGTCCAACAAATTACTAATCATCTCTCTCTCTCTCTCTCTCTCTCTGTATGATTCAGATTAAAATAACAAAGGCAGAAAGGGATGTTTATGCAGCTGTGATCGAACAAAAAGTGGCAATGAAGATAGGTCCAGGCCACTATGAGCCCCCAAGTGGGCCTGAAAGATGGTCTTTGGCTATAGAGGGAAGAGATTACAAGGTCTGGGAAGCATCATAAAAATATCATTGTATCAAAGCATATGAAGCTCATTGAAGAACATTTTGACCCATGAGGTACAATTACCTTACCTACAAATTAAATTGAAACTTCCCCCTGATAGTATACATCACTTGAAGATGGTGTGGCTGCTGTTTGAGATATGTTACCATGGCTGATTAAGTGATAAGATATGGGAATGGATCAGACTCAAATTATATATATCTATATATTACATTTATATGTTGGAATACTAGGTGTAAACTCTTGAACATAAACATGCTTGAGGGTATATTATAAGATCTGGGACCAAAAATTTAAAATATGTATACTATACAGTTATACCATAGCCAAAGATGCTTATTGTATTTGTTCTTATTAAATAAAATAAGTGATTTATCCTAATTTGGTCTCCCCTTGTTGTCTTTGAATGATTTTGTTGGATGAGGTGCAACCAAACTAGTGTAGCTGACAGGGAATGAAGGATTTTCGTCTACCTAGTAACTTGAAAGAGAGAATACTAGGCTTCACAGTGATACAGAATCAATCTTTTTTAGTGACTTAACAAAAAATCATATGAAGTTTAGCATATGATCAAGCATTGAAATACATTGATGTGTATATAACAATAGGACTTTGCACTCTATGGGTGCCATCAGACCACACCAGTGAAGCCGATACAGACTTACTATCATCCAATCCTTCTCCACTGATGGTCACAACAAAAGATTTCTTCTCATTTAGCGAATTAAAGGAGAGAATTCTAGGCTCCACGCTGACATTGACTAAATCGTCTTTGCTGATTTTTGCTTTGTATGTGGAATTTTTAAAGCCTACATTTGTAACCGTTCTTGGAAATTTAGCTGTGAAAGGCTTCTTTGCTTCTACTTGAACTGTCATTGAAGGGTAATTGAGTTCCTTCGGTGATCCTTTAGGTCCCTCTGGGCAGTTACTGTTATCACCCAACATCTTTCTGAGCTTACTGCTATTGTACCCCATGCTGCATGACATTTTGATGTAGTTGTCTTTAAAGGTTTCATATACGAGTCCTGGATTTGCAGAATTTACTGGATCTAAATGCCCTGCTCCATAACCAAATTCAGCAGCCGGGTTCTTTTTGGCATTCATTGGCCGAGCTACAGTCAATATTTTGACTACTTAGTAGAATTTACAAAAACAAAAAAAGGGCTAACATGAAATGCTTGACATGAAAATTAGTACTGGTAGTCATAAGAGTAGATTTGATAGCCGAGGGAGACCAGTCGGGGTGCAATGATGTCAGATAAGCAGCCACACCAGCAGCATGGGGGCACGAAATGGAGGTCCTGGATAATACACTGAATTTAACAGACTTTATCGGGAAGGTCATCTGCAGGTGAAGCAACCGGTGAGTATGCAGCCAAGATATCTATTCCCAGTGCAGTTATATCGGGCTGCATCACATTTATCTTGTCTGATGAATAGACGGTATGAGAAAAGGAAAAGGAAGCTGGGGAATTTACTGCATGTACCCTCAGAATTCCCGATATGATGATGTTTGGACCTTTCGAAGAAAAGGAAGCGACTATGGGAGCAGCAGAATCGTGTAATAATTCACGTTTTAGTATGTTTGCTTGGGGCATTCTATAAGAAAGAGCTGAACACAAATTGTATCATTCCAACGAACACTACGAGTTTAAACAAAACCGTAAGCAACCTAAGCTTGAACTGTTCATGAATAACTTACCTCGGTTTGTAACTTTCATAGAGATGCACACAAATTGAGTCAGAAATTTGTTTTAAAAGTGCAATTCTTACTTAGTGGATCTGATGTAGGATTGGAGCAGAGCATTGTCTGTTTGGTTTAAAAGTGAGGCAGGTAAGGGGACTACAAAAGAGGCATCTTTGACCCATGTGACACAATAGATCCAAGGGCACCAGCTCTATGAGCTTCATTCATACCCTTCACATCATTGCATAACACCATCTTTCCCTTCACTTTACTACTGTCCAAACAACCCACTTCACATAACCTGAAATGAAAAAAAAATTTCTAGCAATTCTAGATGTCTTATTTAAGAACAAACGGTTCTACATACTTAAAAATCGTTCAGAAAATACTCTAGCATCTCACCTTAGGCTGCAAATGAATCGTGCTACTCCTATATTCAATTCAGTCCAGTTAGGTTTGTTACATATGTAAACTCAATTGAGTTGAATTTTTAGACTTCTTTAATAAACGAGCCAAACCCGAGTTAGAATACACTGCCCTCATAAAGCTCGACTTGTTTATTATTTAACTCGACTTGTTTATTATTTATTTAAATAATATGATAAATATTATTTATATATTAAATTATGTATAATGTGCTATACATGCATTATAATATAAAATCATATTTAATGAGCCAACTATGCTTGGTTATTGAGTTGTGTTCGGAAAACTCAACTCGGTTGGACTCGTTTACAGCCATAGTTTCACATTTATCCGTTTTTAATGCACGTTTTGTTTTTTTTTTTTAGGTGAAACCCACTCAAAATTAGTGCATAGAAACTTCTGTGCACATTTCCCTATGAAAAATGAGTTGGACCCCCAAGTGGGGTGACTCCCAGCACCCCTACTGTTTTGTGATTGGCTCAAATTTATTTATTTATTTATTTTTTTCTGTCTACAAGTCATAGCCCCCACGTGGAGGTGGGAGTGCTGGGGTCACCCCCCACCGGGGGTCCCCAGCAGGGCTCATTTCCCTATTCTGATTTTGTGCCCAAGTAGCAAAACTCTTTTATAGTCATGTAGAACTACTCTCCAAGAAAATTGAGGCTAAAAGAAAGTTGGAGAACAGATTTTATACCCAGGATTGTATTCATCACAAGTACCTGTTACTTCCATGCCTTGTACCAGAGAGAATTCCTATCCATTCAAATGGAACCCATTAACCGCATTACCCTGTTCGACACAAATCCAACATTGTAAAGTTGAGAAATTTCACAGTGAGAAATGAAGAAAAATTTCACATGTTGAAGATACATACAAGTAGCACTGTCTTTCCATCCCCCCAAAACAACTCTATTGATGATTCGGCAATCAATAATGCTCGCTGCCACGCTAAGCAGCCATGGCGCAACGCTAGTCACCGGCGCTCTAACAGTGGACAAACCAGTGTTTCCTGCAGAATGCACTGTCAGTACACCTCTCTCCATGGCATGCAAAGAACCAATTGATAGGGAGTCTATGGTGATATCGAGCGCATTTTCTTGTCCGAGCGAGATGGAAATGACGTCGATGCCATCAGCAGATGGCGTCGTCAGAGGCAGAGAGTATGTCAGAATCTTGGCAGCCAGTGTCTGGATGACAGTTTTTGTAGGCAGCAATCCTGGCAGAGGGTAGTGCACCTCTTGCAGTTCCATTTGCAATACATAAAGCTAGCATTTGGAATGTTGTTTCCAGCTGCTGTGGAGGCAGTGTGAGTGTGTCCCTTGCAGATTCATCGTGGGTGTCAATGAGTTGTAATACGAGTTGTAATACCTTGCTCCAATGATCTTGCTATAAAACTCAACATGATGCTTAAAATTGGAAATCTTTAAATAACAATACTACGCATCCAAAATTTTTATTCAAAAAAATTAATGTGTGATTTAGATTCATTTTAAATGTAGGATTCATCATATAAGAATTGAATCTAAACAACATATCACCTTTCTTGATAAAATTTATGGTTTAAATTATGAGTTTCTAATTTTATTGATCCTAAAAATCAAGACATATACCACAATAGTACTAAAGTATCAACAATGATAATACAAAAGTGTTGTAATAACTGTTTGATATCACCGTATGCTAGTATTTGAGGGATTATTAGCTCCCATTTGGAAGTAATTATTAAGGGAAAAAATCAATAAGAACAATATATTATCATGTTATCAGGGTGAAAAGAAACTGGTTAAATATAGCATTACCATAATGATTAAGAAAAATGATAAATTTCACCCTTTTTTTTTCTTTTACCTTTTTTGGTTATGCTTGGAGTATAAATTTGAGTAGGAATTTAGAAATGAAAAGGGAAAAGAAAAAAGTGTGTGAAATATAGCTGAAATGTAGTTATATTTCCCTTTCTCTCTCTCTTTTTAAATTCTTACCTAAATCTATACTCCAAACATGACCTTTATGTATGTTCTTATATAGAAAAGTTTTGATTTGGAGAAGAAAGAATTACTTGTTGCAAGTAAATTTTTGCCACCTTTACATGTACCCTTCCATTTCTTGGGAGGAGGACCAAAGCCTTCATCAATAAAACTCTCTGATTCAGGCCATATTCCAGTGCCAATAACACCCACTATAACCTCACTCTCATAGGTGGGATTCCTAGGGACACTCTCAGAGAATCCCATAATGTCCCAGGATCTTCTTGTTTGGGGTTGAAGAGCTCTACTTGGAAAACCTGACGCTACTCCCTCAAAACCTGCACATTAAAGTATGAACAATGTATTATTATAGTCAAACACATAATTATAAAAGCTTGCATGGAATCCTCTATTTCAAAATTTCTATCTTCTATGTTCATACCTCCAGTTTCTCACAATATATGATGCAACTTAGAGTGCATTAAGTATGGGGTATAAGTATTTTGAGATAAAGAATATGACGTAGACAAGATTTAAAAAGATCAATATTTTTATTTTATTATTTTAGAATTAATAATTGATTAGAAATATTTTGTTTAGTATAGAATATACTAAAATTATTACATTTTCATTCGTATTAATTTATTTTTTTTCTATTTTTTATTCTACAATAATTAGTGTTATCCTTTTTAGATATTTTTGAGTAGTAAAAATTAGTTTGTCATTTTTTAAAATATTTCTTGATTATGAAGAGTTATTTTAGTATAAAAATCTAAATGTAAATTTTAGGAAAAATTAGATCAAAATATTTTTTTGGGTAAAACACCAATAAATATCAAATAGTGATGTTATGAACTTTTTGGTTCACCATTTTTTCTTATAGATTCAACGGTGCTATTCTAGTATGAATTACATAAAGAGCTAAACATGAACACACGTGTGTTATGTGCTGAGGGACAAATGTAGGTTTTCTCATAATATTGAAATTACTAAACGTAACATATATTCAAAAAAATTTCTTTGTGTACTTTTTTCAAACGTAATACTCTAAAAACATAATACTCTAATGTAACATTTCAAAAAAATTCCTTAGTGTACTTTTCTCAAATGTAACAACGTATAGGGGTGGGAGCGGGTCGGTTGCGGTCACGGAATCTCCAATGACTTAAGAAAGTATTACAATCACTGCATGCCTTATCCAAAGAAAGAAAGTTTGAAACTTTAGAATATTACAATCACTACATGCCTAATCCACATATTACAATCACAACATACCTCATCCACGTAAAGTATTACAATTTGTGGTTCTTAAAATATAAAAATAATTCAAACCACCAAAATCATAAACAGAACAGTAGTAGAGATTGTATGCCTCGGTATTATTACATCTATATTTGTTTTAGAAAACAAAAACCAACCAGCATATATCATCTTATTTATTTATTATTTTTAGAGTTATATTTAAAAATCAAAAAATATATTCAAGTTAAAAACTCTTTTTCAACAGAATATATTCAATAGAATATTTTTAAAAAAATTCAATTGAAAACATAAACATAATATCTAAACAAATTAAAAATACAAAGTTTTACAAATTACTAAGGGTGCTCGCGGTTTGGCAGTTCGGTTGCGGCCTAAGGAACCTCAAATCCGCCATCCGTTTAAAACTAGGCGGATTGGAAAAAATCAATTTGTAACCGTCCGCTCGTCATCACGCATCCGTCCAAAATGTAGCGGATCGGTTCGGTTCGGTTCGGTTTGATCGGTTTGGGCAGATCAGTATATCCGCTACTCACCCCTAACGTAACATTTCAATAAAACTCATTAGTTTACTTTTTCCAAACGTAATCAATGTAGCACACTAAAAAACTCGTTAGTACATTTTTTTTTTTCAAACGTAACCCTCTAATACACTAATAAAGCCCTTAGTTTACTTTCGTCAAACGTAACACTCCAATATAACACACTTAAAAATTCCTTAGTATACTTTTCTCAAACGTAACAACGTAACATTCTAAAAAAACTCATTAGTGTACTTTTCTTCGTTAGTGTACTTTTTCCAAACGTAACGCTCTAATATAATACACTAAAAAACTCTTTAGTTTACTTTTGTCAATCGTAACACTCCAATATAACACACTTAAAAACTCCTTAGTGTACTTTTTTCAAACGTAATAATGTAACATTCTAAAAAAGGGCAAATTACATATACACCCCTCCAGGTTTGACAAAATTACAGATACCCCCCTGAGGTTTGAGAAATTACGAATTCCCCCCTGAATGCTATATTTGCATAAGAAATTAGGGGGTAATTTGTTATGAAATATAAACCTCAGGGGGTAAATTGTTATGAAAATACAAACCTCAGGGGGCGGGATGTAATTTCCGAAACCTCAGGGGGGTATCTGTAATTTAACCAAACCTGGAGGGGTGTATATGTAATTTGCCCTTCTAAAAAACTTCTTAGTGTACTTGTTTTTAAATGTAATACTCCAATCAATGTAATACTCCAATCAATGTAACACACAAAAAATTATTTGTGTACTTTTCTCAAACGTAACATTCTAATGTAATACACTAAAAAACTCATTAACGTATTTTTCTTAAACGTAGCATTCCAATATAACATATTAAAAAACTCCTTAGTGTGTTTTTTTTAAACGTAACAACGTAACATTCTAAAAAAACTTCTTAATGCATTTTTTTAAACGTAACACTCCAATCAATGTAACACACAAAAATTCTTTAGTGTACTTTTTTAAACGTAGCACTCTAACACCCTAATGTATTACCAGAAAACCACATGAATAGAAATATAAATTTTCATACTCGACAATCAACATTTCACCACCAATCCCTCAAAAAATAATCTTCCACACCTCACATTTCCATTTCCATTCCAAAAATGAATAAGAAAATTGAAAAAATGAATCACAAAAAGACATTCAATTAAATTCAAATGATACAAAATCGAATAAATATAACTTTCCAAAACAAAGGGCTAATTGGTTCATAAAAAAATTTATGAGTAAATTTTCTATTTTTTTTTTAGGTAAAATAAACTTTTGTAGCATTATTAGAATTCGAGTTATTCGTGATTGTCCTTGTTTTCTTATATTAATTTCATACACACATCCCTGCATCAAGATCGCTAAAAATGAAATCCGATACTTATTATCTTGAAATTACTTACATGACAGAAAATAAAAAAAACAAAAAAAAAAACTCACTAGCCAACTTTTGTCTTTCTTGTTCAGTGAGATTGGCTGCAAATCCATTGAAACTCCTTGTATAGCTTCTGATGAAGGATTGGTTTATAGAACTAGAGATGGAGATTGGAGACATAGAATGAGAGAGAGCACAAGCGTAAACACAACAAAGTAGCTTTATAGCAACAATAAGATCAAAAGCTTGTAGAGTTTACCTGTAATCAATCTGATGGAGAAAAGTGGCAGCGTAATACTACAGTTTATAAACCGCGTGGCAAAGATGCTTCTAAGGCTCAAGTTTTGATTTGGCATGTGTTGGATGATGCCTGGCTCACTTGGGAACTAGAATAAATTAATTTGAGTGTTTCCTCTATTTATATTTATGGAGTGGTTTGGAATGTTTTAAATAAGTATACTTTTTGATTTTTTATAAAAGAAAAATGTAGAAAAATAGAGAAAGTAGTTAGAAAAGTAGAGAGGAGATATTGATAGATATTGATTGATGTGACCCAAATAAATATATATAGGTAAAAAAAAATGTATTTTTTTAGTTTACCCAAAACACCTATTAAGTTTTAGGGTCAAGGCTATTTTTGTGATTTGCAAAATTTATGGAGCGGGTCTCAATAAAGGGTCGTTGGGTTGACCCATGGGTCTTGGTATTGGTTTAATATGTTTATGAGTCTTATTTGATATTAAATAGGTTTTAGAAGTCAAAGATTTTGTAATAGTTTTAGTAGTTTCCTATTTTGGTCCTAATTAGTTTAGGAAGTTTTATAGTCCTATATAAAGCAATCTATTGCTTCTAATAAAATAACAATCATAATTTATATAATTTTTAAAGCTTTGAGCCTATTTAGGATTTGTGTGATGCAACCTAACCCTAGGTCTGATGCCTAAGGGATTCCACTATTATAGGAGTGATTCCTAGTTTTTTTTTTTTTTTTTTCATCATTTTCTCTTTTCCTATTGTCTCTATTCATAGTTTACTATTTCCAGCCCATAAACAGTCTTTCTTCTGTCACAAATTCTTGTTTCCTTAAGCCCAAACCATTTATAACCAAACCCTAACCACCCTTAGCTTTATTTCACTAAACCTAACCCTAAGTTAGCTTAAAACTTGCTTCAAACCTGCGTGTGCTGCATCACAACAACTTCTTAAAGTATACTGAGATGGTGAGATGATGGTGAATGCTGATCCCCTTGAGGAAGGGCTCCCATGTACACAATGTGAATCTGCAATATCATCA